TTTATTTATTTTTTGTACAGGGTCTCAGTACACAGCTTGGACCCATAGTGTTCCTCTTTTCAACCTCCCCAACGCTGGGATTACAGGCATGTGCCGCCACACCTGGTCTCCATTGCTAGCTCAGTGTGCCCAGGGACAAGGCTGGCATGGTGTGTGGTGCCAGGGATCGAACCATGGCCCCTGCATGTGCCAGGCAGGCACTTAGTCCACTGAGATGTCTTGTCAGCCCTCTTAGGTTTTTAAAAATCTGCTGTATTTTGCAGAGCCTCATCCATGTTGATTGTTTCCTTTGATTTTATAAATCAGTTTATTTTACTTTGAGTTCACCTGTAGTGGACCATATGTTTTGTGAGAATCCTGGGCCAGGGATAATGCTCAGCAGCACAGCACCTGTCTGGCAAGTACAAGGTCCTGAGCTCAAGTTCTGGTACCAAACAAACAAAAGTAAGTATTTGTGAGAATACCAAAGATTCTACCTTCCAAATTTTCATTTGTTTCTCCCATGCTTTTCCCCAGAATTTTATCAGCGAAAGACAAGGGCATTGTCTCTAGTTCCCATCAGTAGAATCTCTCCTTATGACTTTTGGGAACTACAGCCTTCTACCGTCCTGTCCCAGCTTCGATTCCTTTCCACCAGGCTGGCCTCTGAGTCTAGTGTGCACATTGACGCTCACATCCAGGCCAGAAAGAAAGCCCTTCCAAAGGTTCCCACAGCTCAATTTACAGCCTTGCCTCTGTTCTTAGGTTCCTCTTCCTTTCTGGTGTCTGGTGATTTCATTTTTTTCCTCCTAATACATCTATGGATTTAAAAAGAGTTGTTTTAATTTAAATTTCACCCCATTTAGAACAGGAAGTCTTTAAAGTTATTTTAGAAAAATAGGAAATGAAATAAGTAACCTTACTGCTGGAGTCTTCGATATATTTTACACTTAACCAAAATAACCAGTCCCCAGGACAGGCCACTATTACAAGACCTTGTGCAAGTCAGGATTTTTGTTTTGGGTTTTTTTGTTGTTTTTTTTTGCGGACCCTGGGATTGAACTCAGGCCCTTGCCCTTGCTGGGGAAGCTCTTATTCCACTGAGCCATCTCCCCAGGGCCGGAATTTTGTTTTGACTTAAGACTTGGTCTCACTGTATAGCCCAGGCTGACCTTGAACTTGTTAGTGAGGCTGGTGCCTCAGCCTCCCAAGTACTGTTGTTCAGGAAATGTTCTCAGCCCCCTCTGATTTTGGGGTCTCTTTTGTTCCTTAGCATCTCATAATACCCTTGTACAGAGTCTAGCGTACAGATTTATTTTGCTGGTTATTGGTTGACACAAGGAGCATCTGTCTAATTGCCCTTTTCTTACAAATTGCTCTACAACAAGATTAATTTCTCAGCATGTCTTTTGCCTGAGTTGGTCACAGAAAAAGCATGTTGTAACTGCAGTATCCTAAGCCTCATACTTTTATGCCAGACTAGGGGGTTGTTGATTATTGTTCTGTTCTTGTGGTAGAGAATGGCTTCTGAACCATAGAAGAAACTGCACATAACTGGCTATTTGTTTTAGTATTCTCTTTGGTTTGTTTTAATTTTTTTGTAGTGTGGAATATTTTTATTTCATACAGCTCCATATTCCTGTACATCCACCCCCATGACACTGAGATAGTGTTACTGGTTATAAAAATACCAGTAGAAAGGATTTGGAAGTTAAGAAGGTATCCATTTTTTCAAAACAACATACAGTGCATCAAAGGCATCTTTATGACTGTTCCCAAAGCAAAGCTGCCATCAAGCCTAATTTTCATATGTGTAAAAATGTAGAAATGGGTGCTGAGCTGATGAGTCTCAGCAAACAACTCACATGGCAAGAGGAATTTGTGGGATTGCTCCTGGGGGTGAGTAAAACGCAAACCTTGCCTGGCATATGGTAACACTTTTCATGGTGATTCTGTAACTGGAGGTTTCTGATGTTTGAAGCAAGTTCTAGCAAGATGTCTTATCTTTCCTAAAACTTTGCTTTAACCCAGATGAGAAAGTACTAGATATCCATGATGCTGCACTGCAGTCTCTCCTTAGGCATGTACAGTTTTAAACACATCTCAAGACATGACAGCTCTTCTGTTGCAAAACAACAACAACAACCAAAAAAAAAAAAAAAAACTCTATTAACAACAAGACAGTACAAATGAGGGCCAGGTATATAACTCATCAGCATGGCACCTGCCTGACAGGCTTGAAGTCCTGAGTTCAATTCCAGGTTCAGAGAAAAGCAATTTAAATGTATGTCTGTATCAGGGGAAAAATAAATAAATAAATAAAACAAACTCAGAGGAGCAAAGATAAAAATCTGAAGGGAACATTTGTCTGTGTCTCTGTGCTCCAGTGTGCAAGCCCTCATCTCCTGGCAGAGTCACACATGTCCTCCATCTCTAGAAGCTTGGTGCTAGACCCATCCCCAAGCAGGCTGAGCAGGTCAGGGTGTTCTCTTCCTGAGGCCAGCAGCCCCTGGACAGCCAGCCAGCGTAGGATTAGGTCAGGATTTCAAAGGTTCATGGGTTTTTCTCATCTCCCCTTCATGTGTTTCCACCTATCATAGACACAAGACAAGTACTACATTGACATTTAAAGAAAACCATTTCCAAACTTCTTTCAACCTTTTTGTGCTCGTGCTTCTTTGAGTGCATACAAGGAAACACTGCACCTTCACGGCAGCCCTTTGGGAGGGACATGGTGCCCTTGGGGAGCTTCTTCCTGCAGGTCATGTTGAGCACCAAGCCCAGAGTATTTCAGTCCTTTTGTGTGTGGCAAGTAAGTTGTTATAGTGAGATTGCTGTTTTCTTGCTTGGATCTCTCACTTAAAATTCTAGCCCACAAGCAGGAGTTGGAAGCTGGCCCTCCCCTCCTGGCTTGCTTCCCTGTCTTTGCATGTACACATCCTTCCCCTTAGACTCACTTCTGCTTTATTTGGACAGGTGGCCCTTTTACACATTGGCCTTGGAGGAGCTATCCTGTGAAAGAAGTCATAATACAGCTCAGTCTTTCAAGGAAAATACCATCAAGAATATCTTTTTAAGAAAATAGCCTGAAGGCTATGCTTTTATTTTTGACCTGTTAATTTTTGTGTGTGTTCTTATTACAGGGAAAGGTGTGGCTAATTGACTTCAATCCATTTGGTGAAGTCACAGATTCACTTCTGTTCACTTGGGAAGAACTAATATCTGAGAAAAACTTAAAAGGTGATTTTAGTGAAGGAGATGCTCAGGAGCAGGTAAGACATTTTTTAGTAAGATACAAAGAAAACTTTTGCAGTCCCCTGAAAAGGATTTGCTTGCTTGGTAGACACAACGTGGCAGTGAGTTGGACCTATGGGGGCAAGCATGTGACACCAATGCCCATGGGCTGATGAAAGGAGGTACATACTGGGATCCTTTCTTGAGCTTTTAAGAAATTATAATTGATTAAGAGAGAATGAGTCCTCTCACCACGGTTCCTAGTTGTTTCCCTTAGCTTTGGCCCTGGCCTCCATGAACCTGAAGCCAATCACAGATCTGTTCACTCAGGTCACAGAGCTGGGCTTCCTTCCCTTCTGCTTGCGTCGAAGACCAACTTTGTCTCCAGGACTTGCACCAGTCCTCACCACGGTGCTTTGCTTCCAGGCCCTCACTTGGCTGCTTTCATCACCTGTTCAGCTCAGCCCAGCAGTCCCCTTCTGAACAGGATCCCATGTAATCACCCCTCTGGAGTAGTCCACATTGTTGTTAGTCTGTCACCCTGGTTCTGTTTCCTTAACATTTTTTATTACCTGAAATGGTCGTGGTAATTTGTTTGCTTGCTTATTGTCTGTGTCTCAGTGTTACTTACCAGTTAATGCCTCACATCCAGAAGGATGTCTAGCACAAAGCAGACATTATGTAACTCTTGACCACATGATTAGTCTGTCATAAAGCCAGTTTTCCAGGGCTCTGTAGTCCTCATCCTTTCAAGACCCCAACTTGCCTTCCTTTGCTGGACACCAGCAATCTTCTGCTAGATGTCTGCTACTCAAGAAATCCAAGCCCAAGGCTTCTCTGTCTCTGAAATTCTTTTTGACCAATGGCAACATGTAAATATTGTATGCAAGACCCAAAGCCAGTACATCAAAGAACAAATGTGAAGGCTTGTCAAACATGAATCTTGAATTTGCTGTTGGACTGGATATAAATGATGAGAGAGACACACAGATGATCTAAGTACACAAGAGGTAGAGAATTCAGAATAGCCATTTGCCCTCAATACTCAGTATTCTCTAGGACCACTTTCCAGCTGTGCTTCTGTGGTAGTGGTCCGGCCTCTGAGACTGCTCAAGAATAGGTGATTGGGTCTGCTCAGTGGCTGGTATTAGTCATAACCTGTGTGCTAGCTGTCCAAGAGACACTTTCTAGATGCCTCATGCTGATTTCCTAGTGAATGCACAGACTTGTTTTAAACATTGGTGCCCTCTTTTATTTGAGAATCATTTTCCTCCTTTTCTAGTACAGAAGAGAAAAACATGGTATTGACTTTGATTTGCTAGGATATGTTTTTAGTTTAAAGAGCAGACCTAAAAGACACTATAGACTTTGTTGTTTTCATTCTGTCAAGGACTCTCCAGCTTTCCGTTGCACAAATAGTGAGGTTACGGTACAGCCCAGCCCCTATCTGAGCTACCGACTGCCCAAGGACTTCGTGGACCTGTCCACTGGGGAAGATGCTCACAAGCTCATTGACTTTCTTAAGCTGGTAAATATATATGTGTGTTTAGAAAGCTGGTCATCATCTCCACTTGGCTTTCAGGTGGGCTTTTTAATATTATGTTTTAGCCCTATGCCATATAGACTTCTTTGATGGTAAGGAATTAACTGATTTGGGTCATTTAACAATAAAATATGAAATGTGAACTTAGTGATTTATTTCTAGAGTGATAAAAATGTTTTTGTGAAGTATGTGCTCTTTGAAACATTTTCTTTATCCTGACTTCAAAGAAAGTCTGTATATTGTCATGAAGACGTAAGTGCAGATCCTTTGTGGTGACTTGAAGAAAAAGGAATTTTGTATTTCTTTGCATAGTTCTATATGGCCATGTTGTATAACTATGATCGGAATAAAAGGAAATTCTGAAATCCCTGAAGATAATTTGCCCCCAAATCAAAGTACTATCCCAACTTAATGAATTGGTGAAGGCATGTTTCCCCATGATCATTTTAAGCACATCTTTTTCAAGCCCTGTAGATAATTACACTTGTTGGCAACGCCAAGACCTTGGCTAAGGAGACGTCCCTGTGAGCATATACTGTTTGAGTATACTCTTGGTTTCCTTTGACAGAAAAGAAATCAGCAAGAGGATGACTGAGCGGAGTGCTAGAGTTCAAGAGCAGGTGAAAGAGACAACTATGGCTACTTCGAGAGACTGCTTGGTGGCCACAACTCCAGTGACCCTGGCAGGGGGGAGATCTGCAGCTTTTTATATCATGTATATCACCTGGAGAAAGTAGGACTTTGTTACTTGTAAAAATAGCATAATAAACCGATCTTAAACAGAAAACCATACTGTTCTGAGAATAAAATAACTTTCTATGAAATACCTTGCTCTTCTGGGGCTCAGTTGATTTAAGATTTGTTTATATTTCTTGTGCTACTGTTTTTATAACTATCAGGTAGATGGAAAAATTTATATTTTGATACTGAAAGTCTTTTTATTTTTATTTATTTATTTATTGTCCCAGAGATTAAACTCAGGACCTTGTGATTGCCAGACAAACAATTATGCTGCTGAGCTGTCTCCTCAGCCCCTGAAATAATCTTCTTAATCATAATTTTTTCTCTTAAAAAAACCTTAGGCTAGCTTCGATGGTGTACCCTTTTAATCCTAACAAGGAAAGCCTAAGACAGAAGGATCACAAATTCAAGCCAGCCTGGACAGCTTCATAAGACTTAGCATGACTGTGTCTCAAAGTGTAAAAAAAGGATTAAGGCTGTACCTTAAAGCCCTAGTCCACGCCTCAGCACCACAAAAAGAAAAATAAAGAACATTATAATAGGAAATATTTTCCTTACCTTAAGAGATTTCTGTATGATTTTATTTTCAGTTTCAATCTGTGCATTCTGCAGTTGTGACTTACCCCCCTTGGATGAGCAGGCCAGAAAAAACGGTTTTTGCAGTTAGAAAATACTTGTTCTAGAACACGTTCTATAAGTCATTTCACTCCCTAGGTTGATCAAGAGAGTCATTGTCCATCACAAAGAATCTGTTTCTCGTCAGCCAGAAGATCCATGTAGCTTTCCATTTGAAAAGTAGGTTGAGCCTCACTCTGTGCCTGGATTTTCAAGCTCTGGCCCTGTGGCTTTTGGTACATGGCATCCTCTTCACCAGACCTGTTATCAAGGTGCATCTCCCTGCTCTGCCTGCAGGGGCACCACACTGGACATACTCAGCTGCCTTATTCTCTTTGATATTTAGGATGTGACGTTCATTCTAGATGAAGCCTATGTTCCAAACACTTGTTCAAAATTTATTGAACTACTTCATGTGATACAAAAATTTCATTTATTTCTTTTGACTTACCATAATTTTCTACATGCAGACATATATTGCTGCCAGCTTCTCATCCTTTTAAAATTAAAATATCTCCTAGTGATTTTTTCTTTCGATAAAAATATTACATATTTACTGTAAAAATACAGATGGACAAAAGGAAAAAAATTCCTAGTCCATTAGAGTTAACCATTGCTTACAACTCAATGTCTGCTCTTCCAAATTTTTTTCTGAGTATATACATGTGAATGTGTACCAAATGCTCACACCATGAAGAAGCATGTCTATGTCTAGGGCTGGGGAAATAGCTTAGCTGCATAAGCACCTGCCTTGCAAGCACAAGGTCCTGAGTTCAATCCCTGGTACCACATGCCATGCCAGCCTCAGAACCCTGAACACACCATGCAGGCCACCAAAACCAGGCATGGTGGCCAATGCCCATAATCCCAGCACTGCAGAAGCTGAGACAGGAAGATCACTATGAGATCAAGCTGCATAGTGAAACCCTGTACCAATAATAAAAAAAGACCATGTCTAATTATCTCAATAGTTATTCCTGTTTTATTTTGTAATGTATTTACCTATTTTTTATTACTACCTTTTCCCTTTAGGTTGGCTATTCATTTATGTACTTCAAAATTTTGTACACCATTTTTAATATTAAATTTAAAAAGATATTTAATATTCAGACAAATAAGCTCAACTGCCTGTGTTATATGGTAATATCATTAAGCTTCTCTTCTGGAAGGTTAACAACTTAAGTTTATAGACCAAAAATTAGAGAAAAAGAAGGGCTGCAAGGACAGCCAACATTTTGGCCCTAGCTTTTCAAGGTCAGTGAGGACTCAGGACATAGGAGAACCTGTACTATAACATCCTGTAATTCAGCTATGTCCCATATTTTCTGATCAAGGAGATTATGGGGCCACAGAGGAAAGTGATCAGACATGTAGAGTATGCCTAAGGAGAGTCACATGGAGAGAAAGCATTCTCTTAGGCTTTCACAGAGAGCAAATTGGTCAAGCAATGGCCATGACTCATCCACATGGCTGACACTGACATAGGATCTACAAACTATGGTACAGGGTTTCAGGGTAAATCCTGAGGGGATTTGACTGACCTTGTCAGATACAAAAGTTACATTTCTTGTTTTTTATTTTTATTTTTTTTTTAATTTTTT